TCAACAAAACTTATTATTTATTTACGACTTCTTTTACTTATTGCTATTTTTACTGAAGGATCAATACTGTGGCTCCATATTCTATGTTTTTTTCAGGGAGTTTTTGCACTCTTAAGCAGGGTTCCTCAGTGGGACCTTAGAAACCATTGCCATTTTTTTCATAGAATTGATTCAGGTAAGAAAAATTAGATGCTACTGTTTGAATATCCATGTTCTCACCCAGAATTGCTATCTTGTTTGGGGGAACAGCACTCAATGGTTGTGTAAGAAAACTTACACAAGCACAAGATGCACTTCTCATAGTTGGTCTAGAATCACTCAGCCTCCTTGATAAAAGAGGAACTGTCAAGAAATGGCCAAAGCATCTTCTTTGTATAAGCCTCATGAAGAACTATTTCCTCCTTTCCAGTGAATCTAATTTTGAGGTCAAAATTTTTAGGTGTTTTTTTGTGGTCCATTTACCACTCTGGACTATTGATGACCTCCATAGGATGGATGCTTTTGGTGGACAGAGCCTTCCTTGCTGCATATTAGATGTACAATGTATCTTCAAAATACTTAAGTGTTCCAATCTTTGGAGAAGTTTGTCTTCGAATGAATATCACATTGTTCAAAATAGTGGCTATAGGAGATGAACAGAGTGATTTACATATACTAGTACTCAATAAATATTTGAAGGTTGAACTTGTAAAAATGAAGCAAAATTAATTTATATAAAAGTCAGGTAGCTGAACAAGTTATTAAAAAGGATGCTACCTATGTACATTGTAAAAGTATATGGTATCTCCTTGATGCCTTCTTAATCCTCGCTGAACCATTTATCCTCAGTATTATTTTTGACAGAGCACAAGCAGAGGGAGAGAGAAGGAGAAGCAGGCTCCCTGCTGAGCAAGGAGCCCAATGTGGGACTCGATCTCAGGACCCTGGTATCGTGACCCAGGCCGAAGGTAGCCACTTAACTGACTGAGCCACCCAGGCGTCCCTCTTCAGTATTATTTTTATAACAAAGTTTTGTTGATATCCAATAACTGTTTTGTCGGTTTTGTTCTTAACATTTTGGGGAATTTTAAAGTCTTTTGAAGATTTGATGAGCCTAAGTAGACTCTCTTCCCGGGAAAATACTTTTCTGAATATATTTGTCAAATTTTATCAATAAATATTGTTAGAGGTTACTAACCCCTGGACTCTGGAGATCTATGTCCCACTGGTCAAGAATCCTTATTTACTATTGGTAAATTTTATATTATTTATAGTATTTCATCATCTTTAAAATTTCATATATTTTAAGGTATTTTAAGGTAAGCTACACTGCATAGCCTTTAACTTACACATTAAGAAGAGGTAGATTGTCTCCCCATTATATTTAAAGGGTTTATGAGTTAGTAAGAAATAACACATGTCTAGAACAAGGTAGGCATAAAATGGATTAAGCACTCGTGCTCAAACCTTTTCCTGTGAAAAAGGAGAAAAAGACCGAACTCATGCTTTTCTATCAGATTATTCTCAAAGGCCAGAGTTTTAAATCAGTTGCCAACTGTGGGACTGAAACTTACAGAAAGTAACTGATGGGTCATCTCATTTCCACAGTGACTTTGCTTTTGCAGAAAAAAAAAAATTGTGAGAGATGAAAAAGTATATTCCTTTACACACTTGTCTTTTGCACTTTTATTTTTCAAATAGCACAACCTGAGCAAACATTTTTGACATGTTTTCTTGAATTCATTAATCTTATGGAAACTAATAGTACACAAGTAGCCACCTTTTCTTTGCACTTAGTTGTGCAAGGCACGTTAGTTCTCATTATCCTTACTATCCTATGAGGTTGGTATTATCCTTAATTTACTAATGAGAAAAGTGAGAGAAATCAGGTAACCTGGAGCTAGTAAATGATAGTATTGGAATTTAATCACATATTTACTTGAATTATACTGCTTTTCATAGAGAAAATCATATGCATGAAATCAGCATCTTCCTGTTGTTTTTAACTACTTTTTAAGAGTTTGCAGTTTCCTGGAGAGCACGATGAACAGATGTAAACAAAGGTACATTCCGTGGCTGTATCTTTAAGTCTATGAATGTAGATGTGCTTAATGAATATTAAAACCCAGAAAAATAGAGGTGGAACTCTTATTCTGCTTGTCTAAAGGGCAGGTTTTCCCTTCAAGTTCAGTCTTCCTTACTGGGCCACTTTGTCCCAAAATGGTGCCGCATATATTTTCTTAAAATCAATAAATCCACAGTTGTATTAAGAAATATTTTATTAACAAAACAGTAAATTCCACTTGCTTAGCATTTCCAATAATGGATAAATTGGCCTTGCAACAGAAAAAAAAAAACAAAACAAAACCCTTAGATACCCAATCACACAAAGCACTAGAAGGGTAGGGTCATGTGGTCTTTTTTTGATGTCTTGGGGATTGACCACCTCACACATTATTGTAGTATTTTTTTTTTAAAGGCAACACATTACATGGATAAAAAAGAAGCGTACTCAATCAGAAAAGTTACAGTCTAGAGATGTAATTGAATTTATGCCAGGTAGTGTCAAATCCTGTTAACTGCAAACTATTCATGGAACCCTGATACATTTGGTATAAAGATACTTGGGATCTTATTCATGTCTTTTTTTTCTCTCTAGCTCATGTTCCTCTTTCTTTCTCCATTCAAAAAGGAAGAAGAAAAAAAGAAAAAAATTGCTCGATTTTGTGTAGGCCAATAACATTAGAAGTATTTTTACTGATAATATTAGATTATATCATTGCATGAAATTTTAAAATTTATGCTGGAAAGAAACAATGAAATCAATCCCAAACAACATGCTTCATAGATATACTGCTTAAAAATACCATTATTTATTTCATCATTTTTTAGACTCTTTCCAGATGGAAACTAGTTCGAGTTCAGTAGATCATATGGAAAAGCAACCATTTCTTTTTAAAACCTCAAGATGTAAATTAGTGGTTTTATATTTACCTTCTTATTTCACTGGCTTTCCCTGAGTAAGACTGAACAAGAGGAAAAAAAAAAAAGACATGAATTCTTTAAGCTAGCAAATTAAAAAAAAGAAGAAAATCTGAAACACAAGTTATGGATACTAAATTTTAGTTTTAAACCTCTACTTTCTGGGTCAGGAAAAGCCTTTAAGACTTTTCACACACCACAATTACTTGGCAACCGTAGACAGTGGTGATTCGCTATGAATTATACTTATTTCTAAGGTGCTGTATGTCTGAAATCCAGGCCACTTCTTGGCTTTTTTCATCATCTTAAGTATCACAAAACCTGTTTTGCATTTTTTGCCTTTGCTGATTAAAGCTAATTGTAAAGGTATTCTCTTTTATGAAATCCAGTATCATTCTTTTAGGATGGGTTAATGTAATGTGACCAATTTTCACTGAGGCATCATCTTCCAATCTAATAATGCATTTCCTTTGCATTGCCTGCTCATATTAATAATTTATTGCTATGAACATCGTTGAAACAATATGCAAAAACAAGTGTATAGTCTATACTTTTCTATTACTTAATGTGTATTAAACTAAAACTATATTTAATGATATATATGTAAAACCAGAAAAGTTAAAATATGGACAATAATCAACAAATAGAGAATGATTTTTTTAGATGGATAGAATACAGAATCAAAATTACTGAAAATACTTTCTTAGTTGAGAAAATGTTTACTTTCCAAAGTGTTTATCATGCACATCAGGTTCAGGGATACTATATATATATATATATATATATATATATATATATATATATATGAAACAAAGTTTTTAATTGCAGCAGCCAGGGTTAAGGTATAGATTAACCAATTTTGCTTCTGTAACCTCCCCCACATAATGGTTCATATTCATGCAGCAATATACCATTGATAATCTATTTGATAAGAAAAGGTTCCGTTTCATTAGGGACTAAAATATTCTCAGGGTTTCCTGGGAGCATGATCTCAATGAAGCAAATCACCCCATCTGTCATCAATACCTTGGCACAACTATCTTCCTTCCTTCCTGCTTTTCAATTTGTCAGTAAACATTTGCTGTTATATATATATACGCTCGGGTTTTCCATCATATCTGATGGATTCCTCTGGATTGGTGTGTGTGTGTGTGTGTGTGTGTGTGTGTGTGTGTGTGTGTGTGTGATTGTAAATGATGAAAGTATGTGGAAAATGTGAATATTGGGGAGAGAAAAGATTATAAGATACATATGTATATATTTTACCTTCTAATTCACACCTTTCATACAAGTACTAAAACTTAATTGCAACAGAATGAAGGCTGTACATGTTAGGAAAAAAAAGTAGCTGAGTCTTTTTATATACATTCATACATATCTTCCTTAGAATAAACACTACATTGTATTTTTTTTTAAAAAAAGTAATTGTGGCAATTTATAATGGTGGCAAAAAAAACCAAAACAACCCTGAAATAATTGTTGCTCTGATGTCATAAAACTCCCTATACTTAGCAACACTTATAACATTGAATTTACCAAAAATGGCTGAAGAGCAGAGATATATTTTGCAATTTCTATACAACAGGCTATAAAACGTCACTTATCACAGTCCAGAAAGCACACAGAGATGGATTTTATATAAACATATGTAATAACATATTAAGCGTGCATGAAAATTTCCCAATGATTGCATCTATGCCCTCTTGGTTTTTTCTGTTTGTTTGTTATGAGATTTTAGTGTGAAAATGTGCCTTATATTTCACATTGTTGAAAATAAGGCCTCCATACTTTTTTTTTTTTTTCCCTCACAACCAGAAAGGGGCTTTTTGAATGTGTTCCTACACAAGTCTTCAAAAAAGCCAGCACTTTGTTTTCAAATGCAAGTTCCAACCACCGCTCCAGTTGCACCAGGTGGCAAACCCAAAGGTTTGCAGGTTGGGTCATTCAAAATGACACAGTCTTCTCTGGCAATCGGACTAACTGACTTCTCAGGAAAGCGCTAGCACTTTGGCTAAATCCAGGATCATAGGTAGCTTCTTTTTTTTTTTTTTTTTTTTTGTGGTGTGTGTTGTGTTGTATTAGTGTTGTGCCTTGATGTTGTAATACTCCTTTGCTTTATGAATGCGTGCGGTCATCACTGTCTTTTAGGAGTGTTCCAGCAACATAAAGACAGGCAGAGTAAATGAAAACACTGTGGATGTTAGGGAATTTATTGGCCCCTGTTTTGTTTTTTTTCTTTCTTTTTTTTGGAGAAACAAGAGCATGAGATACTTGTTTTTATTTTTTAAAAACAGTCTTTCCTTCCTGATTGCATTCCCTGTCTTCTTTTGTATGTGCTTCGTAAAAAGGAAAGGAGATAAGTTTATATTATGTCTCAGATAAAATGAAGACTATCTCTATACAAGGGTCTTTTTGGGATCCTGGGATCAGACGTAATACTCTTTATCCTTGTTTTTCTTATTTTTGTTGGCGCTTTTCGCACTGCTGGGTTGTTTCTCCTTTACGACAGCCCCATTGGACTGTGCTGAGTTACTGATGTAGTTTCGACTCTCGTCCACATGGTATGAGCCTTCATCCCGGTTTCTGTACTTGTACATGGCGTAGAGGAGGATGAGGATGCACAGGGCAGCAGCCGCGACGATCCCCACCACCATGCCCGTGGTGCTGCTGGACTCCCGAATCACTTCCGCCGAGCCTGGGTAGGGCTCTCTCCCGCCTGCTCGGGTTGGGTTAGCTGCGGGAAAGAGGGTGAGAAAAACAGCGCGTGACTACGGAGTTCACGGAACGCCCGAGAGCTAGAGTAACACTCACCATCTATTTCCATGCCTAATGGCATAACACCTACTGCCTTAGGAAAAGTCTACTGCTGCTAAATGTAGCAATCCCTATGCCTCGTGGTCACTAAAAACTAGGGACTATGCATCAAAGCATTTGGGGAGAGATTAGTTGCCATCTTTTCTTTCTCACAGACCAGTTTTGTTAACAAGATTTTGTAAGTGCGGCCCCAAGTAAGCTTCATGTAGCTCTTAAGGGCCACGTCGATGTGTCAGGTGAAAACTCATAAACCCGACATGGTAAATAAAATCGTAACGACACTACCTTATAATGTCAGAGGGTATTAATTCAGCAATCAAACTGATGTTCACACAGAACACTTAGGGCTAACTCCAGACTGTGAATTATGATAGCTAAATTCAGTATTACTTTAGAAATCGTATTGTCTCATACAGGAATGAATACAGTACTGAAAAACAGGATAATCCAGGCATTTTGAATAGACTTCTCATGCATGTTTGTAAAAGCGTGATTTTACTTTCATCTTTACAAACTAAGACAAAACGAAATCCTTTTCTTTTGGAGGTTTATTTACTCATATAAGTGTCTATGTATCACTCATTCATTAGCAGTGGTTGAGCGACCACCAAAACTAAATTTGGGAGGGTGAAGTAGGAAAATATTTTTTCTCAATTTTGCAGACTATCTAAATCGGGTATGGGTCAAAATTCAGTACTTAATAGATAATAAAGGACTCGTTAGCATACTTTTCTTCAACCGGCAAAATTATCCTTCAGTCTTTCCAAAGTATAAAGAACGCTCTTCCACGGATACAAGAAACGGGTTAGAGGGTTCACTAATGTCTTCTCCAGAGCATAGTCGGGCACTGAAATTAATGACGGAGAGGAAAAAGTCCTGGGATTTAATTCGTTTATCGTTATAAACTTAATTTAATTTATCCAATGGGGGTTGTGGGGTGGGGAGCAGCTCTTTTACTCTACACAATAAAATTTTTTTTTGAAAAATTTTTAAAGAATAGGAACTGTACAGAGATAAAAATCTGTCCTATCTCTGACCCTCGGGTCATTCTTCTCTGGGGGTTATGTTTTCTTTCTCCGAATCTCTGTCCTCTCCTTGGTCTTACAGAGAAAGGTTACTTTTCAGACGCATCGAATTAAAAATGCTGTAATTTTCAAAATATTATTTTTTGTAAATTATGCAGAATGAATTAAAAGAATCTCAAGGTTGTGTGTATATATCAGATATATGGGTATGTGTATATAAACGGGGTGTGTGTTTATACAGAAAGTGAACAGTTCAAGAAGCCTGAAATTGGCTTTTTACTACTATTAAACATCATTTAGTAGCTCTTTTTTTTAATATTTCTACAAAAGTTCCTATTAAATACTGGTAGTCATTTACCTGCTTTGTCATCCCATTTTCAAACATCACCAAGATTTCTTCTGCATCATGGCGGGGGTCTCTTGCTGTCATTTTCCTTTCCTTCCCCAAATAAAGCCTTACACATAGAGTCACTGACAAAGTAACAGCTCTCAGGCTCAAAGCAGCAATATCCTGTGTTCTGGAGCCACAAAATGTATCAGGTGAAACCTTTCTATGCTGAATATGTCACTGCTGATTTTACAAAAGCCCATGTGATGTTGCTGAATAAAAAGCCCTGTTGTTGCTTCTGTGGCCAAGGTGGAAGGAGACAAAGACATAATCCACAGCATTTGATTTCAGGAAATTAATTTCCTCTCAAGAAGAAGAGAACCTACTGCAGGAAGTCTGTCACTACCTCACAAACCAAAGGCAGCACTTGTTCTTTCAAATACAGCCATCTTTGCCCAAGTCTGCCAATTAGCTCAGCTGCAAACTTGCACTGAAGGACAACTTGTTACTTGCTCATTTGTGGATCATTCTTTTAACGTGGTGTCTTACCCACTACAGTAAAGGATTTTATTTAAATGTTACCTAAATCTTTGCCCCCACCCTGATGGAATGCTCTTATTTTAACATATTTTTCACAATGCTCTCACTTTGTCTGTCAGAGAAGAATAGGGAGAATGGATATAAAATCCTAGTCATATAGTTCACACTAAGAAGACTTGAGGGTTTTAATGAAATGCAGGGTTGAAATGTTCTATACTAAGTATATATGTTCATTTTTTTTCTAGTTATGAACTGGTGTCATAAATGGACTATTTTATCCAAGAGTTTTAATCTTGTTTTTATCTGCTGAAGTATTTCTGATACATGTTCACAACAACCGTGTTTAGTAACACAGCAACAACAAGTTGATGTTAGAACTAGAAGATTCACAGACCAAAGCAAAGCCTCAAGCGCTTCAATTTTGCCATACAGGCATTTGATAAACACCTCCTATCTAAGGAAAATACTCGCCTTTTTTGCAACTCCTGCCAAAATGTTGCTTAAAGTCACATACAGGCCTAAAAATATCTCTGTAACCAATATGTAAATTAAGAGTCTACATACCATTTTTCAAAAATAACTGACCAAAAAATGCCAAAACCCAATGAGGAAACACTATCCTTTTCCCTGATTCACATTTAAAAGTTAATAACCACCATAGGTATTATTATAGGTGTGTTTGCAATATGCAGTTGCTTCCATATCTGAATTATTTAATAATTTTTTTCTGTTTTTCTTCAAATCTGAAGGAGAAGTGACATTTTCCTTAACTTTTGTGCTAAAATCGAAAGTATTTATACACTAAAGGCATCTCTCCCAGATGCACAATAAAAGGCTAGAGAAATCTGGGGCGCCTGGGTGGCTCAAGTCGGTTAAGCTTCTGACTCTTGGTTTCTGCTCAGGTCGTGATCTCAGGGTCCTGGGATCCAGCCCCATGTCGTGCTCAATGCTCAGCACAGAGTCTGCTTCTCCCTCTCCCTCTCTCTCTGTTCCTACCCCCACCCCCACTCTCTCTCTCAAAATAATTAATAATAAAATCTTTTTTACAAAAAGGCTAGAGAAATTTAAATATATTTATAAACTAAAATATGGCTTTACTTACTGTTATTAATGGTTTATTTTGATGATTGCAGGAAAACCTCTGAGGAAATTTCATAGTAATTTAAATGTAGAGAATAGTAGAAATGGCTAAAAAGCCTAAATGCCTTCTTATATAATTTGGTGAAAATTTTATATCAAAAAAGAAACACAGTCACCTCTTAACCCTTTGTAACAATGAGAAAAAAGGAATTTGATCAGAGAGACCCATAAGCAATTCTTTTATTTCATGCATTTGAGAATTCTGCATTCCTTTTACACGCCATAATACACTAAATCAAGACATTTTAAATAAATACGACAATCTATATGTGCTTTCTCAGCAGTGATAAAAAACAAACAAATGAACTATGGTTTACTTTCACTCTATCTACCTTTCTCTGTCCCAGCATGTGATGAGAACACTTTCAAAACAGGTAAAAGAGAGTGAAAAAGGGAACTAAGAGAATGGAATACATACAAATTAGCGGTAAGTCCGTGAATGGTCTGAAGTTAACGGATTTTTAGGTGAAACTGAGCTAGCTGGACCAGAGGCACAAAGAGCCCAGGTCAATGGGAAACTTGAGGAGGACCGGAGATGGGTACTGAATAAGCCAGAGCACCCAAGGATCCTTTCTCCTGACTGAAAGCAGGCAAGTAAGCATCCAACTGTGGCGGTGGCACACATATTTTGATTTGAGGGTTGGGTTGCGAGCCAAAAAACAAGATGAAGAAAAAGAAAAAAGGAAAAGAGTAGATGAAATATCCTAAGTGCCCACTTACATCCTATTTCAATGATTCATAAAGCAGGAAAGCATTGTGAATTATACACAATTTATGTGAACACTAAAACAACAAATGATTTTCCTCCTGTGTCATTCACGCCATCATCACATACCCTCAGAGTCACCTGGAGTGACCCTCAGAGTTACACCTGGAGTATAAACTACGAGGTCTACTAAACCTGTGGGGAAAGCAAGTATGCACACCTGAAGGGCAATATGAAGGCTTTTGATTCCTGCTGGCATTTTTCCTAAATGATCCAGAAGCTACTGACTACAGTGGCAAGGACAAAGAGCTGTCAAAAGGGTTATAACCTCTTCCACAGAAGCTACTTTTCAGTTAAATGGCTATGAAAGTATTCCTCGGACCCACAGATGGGTAAATAGTGTTATCTTAGAGGACAGGTAAAAAGTGATGTTTAATTCTCTCTTTCTCTATCTCTGTCAAACATTTGGTTGAGATCTGATGGTCTCTCTTAGAAGCCTTCTACAAAGTCTGATTTGGCCCGGATTCATCAAGAATCCTCTATGTCAGCTCTATGTATTTTCTTGTTTTTCACTGATTAATACTGTGATTATTTAGGTAGGCACAGTCTTTCAAGTGTTAGGACACTTATTAACATAGTTCCACACCATACCCTAAACCAATTCATTCATAGTGTGGAAAATGCACAGTTAGCACAAAAGACACATTCCCATGCCTTGTCATATAAAAAGAATAAAAAGTGCATTTGTTGCTTTCACAAAAAATTTAACAATGAAACATTTAAAATTTTAACTTATCCGTAAGTTTGCTGAGACAGTTATTTTAAACTACCACGACAGGAAAAGAAATTGTCATGATGTACGTTCGTTCTTTATTTTTGACAGCCTTTGGCACTGCATCTGTGAAAGAACATCATTTCCCCAAATAAGAACTCATTTAGATCCAGTTAAAAAGCACCATGGAACAAATATGCTTAAGTGATATATTAGGCTATGGCAGAGAACAGAAAAGAGAGGACTGTTTGTGGCAGGTCTCAGTCCTCACCAGCTCCTCTGGCCCTCTGCCACCAACCCCATGCTCCTCTCTGCTCTTCCTTCTACTTCCTCCCCTTTCTCCCCTTTCTACCTCTTCTGTGCGGCCCTCTCCCAGCTCATGACTTGTCAAAACTTATTGCCAAGTTCC